TAGTATCGATAAAAATTACACACGCGCCATCCTTAAAGAGGTTAATACGTTGACTGCCGCGGTGGTCACCGATGACCGGAGCTTCCAAATTACTTGAAAATAATAATAATTAGTAAGGTAACTGGCGTTGAATGAAAATGTTTAATAACGTGAATAAGTTGATCATAGTGTAATCTAATAATTGTGTACCGAATAGTTGATAATTGTTTCTTCTTATTTTTACTACAAAGGAATAGGTGATACATAAAACGCTGAAGTTTTTCGTGACAGTCATAGTGTTAAACTCATTTCCCCGCGAGTCTCCCGTTCCAACCTTTCTCGTCTCACGAAAGAAAAAAATAACGCAGCCAAGATAAAACGAAGAGAAGCAAAGAGAGGTCCAGACTCGAATGTCCGACTGGTTTGCCCGGGTGGCGAACAGGTTGGCCAACTAACTGATGGACCCCGAATGGCTGGCCTTGGCTTAGAGTAATTAAGCGTACCCGTAGGAAGGAGTAAGCCGAAAGTTCAGCTCGTCTGATATACTGGTAGCGGAGTTACTCCGCTCAGGCTTGCCTTGCCCGCGTCACTTGGTTCGTCTCATCTCCTGAGCCGTCCTGGACCATCGCTGAAGCCATCGGATGACATTCACGCCGCGGCAAAGATGCCAGGTAGCTTGGTAGCCGCGTAGAATGCCACACTGGAGGGGGAAAGCGACAGGACAGGCGGAGAAGGACGCCGAGGGGAGGACGGTGAAGGGATAATGGATTCCGAAACTAAATGAAACGCGAGCACCCAACTCCGCGTCGGCGGCTAATCTCGAAACTTCGTTAAATGGCCGTAATTGCATCCTGCAACGACCCGCTTTCCCTTGTCTTCGTTCTTAGCCCCCCTCCACCCCATGGGCCCGGCACTATTCCCACCTCCTGCGCAATCTTCCGGGCATCCAGCATTCTATGAATCACCGAAACGTCTAGAAAACTCGTCGATAGTGTCCTATACGTATTCACTGTGTGTGCGAGTGTCGAGATGTATATAGGTATACAGGTGTATACGGTGGAGCAGCGGTTTCCAACCTGTATGTATCGTAGTATAACTCTCTAGAAAAATTCTTCTTCCTGTGCTTCCTTAGCTTTTAATCCTTTGCACTCGAGATGCGACTGAGAGTCGTTTGATTGAACGCAGAGAAATTATAGAATAAAAATTCAATATAAAATGTTGAATAAGGTATCGATACATAAAACTAGAAATAAAACAATTCTGCGATATAGTTTGTGTAAGATTTTCTTTATGTAAGTTGCAGATAGTGGTAATATTTCGTCGGAAAATAATGAATGTTTGAAGAATATTGTCGAGTGCAAAGGGTTAACACGTTCACTACCAAACGTAATTTTACATAATATATATTACATATTGAAAATGGAATTAATTCTATAGATATTGTTATTAGAAATTACAAACTACAATATTATATTTCGGAACTCGATGACTCGGTTCAGTTTTATTTTTCTGATATTTTGTTCAGATTTATTGGATTGAAGAAAATATTATAATCGAGGAGACTGTCAGCGAAATAAACGTTGGCAGCGGACGTGTTAATAGATATAGTATTATAGACACGTTTTAAATAATAATAACATTATTACAAAATAAACATTGCTTCAGTGAATTTGTATTGTTACGTTACGATATGAAGTTTATTTGTAGATGTAATGGTATGAACGTTAATTTTTTATTGAAAATTTTGACGGCTCCTAGGTTGGAAACCGCGGCAGACCCATTTTACACCAGTTCGAGGCTGGATGAAACTTCGATACAATTTGGCAGAAGTCCGACTGCCACGCTCTTTATATGCAGATCGCGGAGAGGCGGTAGGCTGACGCGGTGCGTCTCTATCGAAGACGAATTTCATGGAAATTAGGCGGGATATGAACTTTTCCGTTCGATAGCACGGCGAATTTCGTCACGCCGATGGTCTGGATGCGTGACGTCGTGTGCCTGCTGGTTCCTAGCCATTTGGGACATGATTCGATTGGGACGAGCGTTCTGTGTAAAAGGGAATCGTGAATTGATAATAAATGGCTACTTTGTGTATAGACGTGTGGCCAGGAAAATGGAGGAAAAATATTTGAAAAATGTTAAAGCAATTAGGAGTATAAGAAGTATTTAATACGTGAAACCCCATGTTAATCACCGATGACCGACGTTTCCGAATGACTTGAAAACAATCGTAACATACAAGATAACCGATGTCGAATAAAAATGGTTAATAATGTAACTAAGTTGATAATAGTGTAATGCGAGGATTGTTACGCCAAGTAATTAATAATTGCTCCTGCTTTCTTTTACTACAAAAAAATAACTCTACGGAAAAACGGTCAAGATTTTCGTGACGCTTAACTTGTTAAAATGGTCTGGATGCGTGACGTATTTCTACTGGTTCTTAGCCATTTAGGACATGTTTCGATTGGGGTGAACGTTTTGGGTAAAAGAGAATTGTGATTTGATAATAAATGGCTACTTTATGTATATACCTGTCGTGAGGAAAGTGTAGGAGAAATATTCGAGAAATGTCAAAGCAATTAGGAGTCTAAGAAGTATTTAAAAATAGTCTTCGATGATAAGGTAGAAATGCAAATTGGAATGAATAATGGATTCAGGACATTTTACGGGCGTGTTAAGAAAATTGTTAATGTGTGATTATAAAACCGCAGATAGGGGAGTTGGAATATTTTTCACGCACCGCTTAATCTTATTGGATGCGTGTAACGTAACAGTAGTAGTGCGAGCATGAACCTTAGGAAGACTGAAGAATAGCTTTGAGGATTTACCAATTATACCAAGATAGAAATACATTGTTTCACTAATATGGAATATTTAAAGGAAATGATTTATTTACACTTGCGTGTTGAAAGTGGCATTGAAGAATAATGTTACTGAAATTTTTAGTTCAGTAAGCTGGTGGTAATATAAATAAAATATAATATAGTAAAAATATAAATGTTTGTTGTACTTCACTTATTATAAAATAGTTAGAAAAATGAGAGTATACATATAGAATTATTTTTTTTCACGTGGTAATTACAGTGATGTGTAATCCATATAAAAATTGTAACAACAGATTATTTTCAGTTTCTTCTTATATTATTTATAGTATTCAAGTGCAATAAATATAAACTATTTATTTTCGAAATGATTTTGAATATTCAATGCTTTCACGGTATCAATAATTACGAAACAAACAGAACAAAACCAGTCATTTTGACTGGAACGATAGTTCCAGCGTTAGTAAATAGAAAACGATTGTTCAGAATTTCAAGATCATTTTGTCAAGAATAGAGAGCTGAAGAAAAATCAGCTTCCAAACTAAGGATTTAATTTAACTTCTATTCCCTTGTTATGAGCCTTGTCGTCTAATTAAATTGGAGTTTATAGTTTTGAAACACTGTAGAATGTGTTGAAACTTATTAATAAAGTTTGCAGCACGTGTTCGCTTGAATAGACCCTTTATGTCAGTCAGGAATAGTTGTAGAGATGGACTCGGCGCGTAAGCATTTTCACGCTGTAATTTCAGAAAATTACGTTATGCACTGGAGAACAAAGGAATACACTGTGCGAAACAGTTAACGTTCGTTATTTATGAAAGATGTTATTAAAAAACAGAACTGCATTACTGAAAAATAATTATTTTCAGTGTTAATATTATATTAAATCGAACAAATAAACTAATCATTAATTAAACACAAACTAACGAATCATTAATTAACTTTTAAAACAAATAAAATTATTTACTTGTAAAGATAATTATTTTTCTGAATTCAAAACTGATAATCGCGAAAAATTTATATTATACGGAATAATTTATTTATACGTGTTGAAATTTTCGTAATAAAAATACGTTACTAATACCTGCAACGCATTGCTTCGATTCACTGTAGAAGAGAATAACTTCAAAATATTTTGTACGAAAAGCTCATAATACGATTACCAATATATGAACAAAAACATTAATCATACTGTTAACGTATTGCATACTGGCAACGAGAAATCTCGTTTTTATATAAAGACATTTATGTACGTAACTTTACTAATTGGCACAGTATTTAAAAAAATATTAAATTTCATTGAAATTGATTATCTATTTAAAATATATCACATAACAATATATTTGACTTTCTTTATATATAGTGATATAAGTTGACTTCACTGAAAATCACCATCCGCACCATTCAGTTTTTCAAAAATTAACCAGTACATACTGATTTAATTCACTGGGTAGGTAAGCACTGGTTCAAGAAAATTCCAGTCAATAAACGTTGGCAGTTAATACCGTCGCTGCCACCCTGATCTCATGGAACAGCTTTGAAATGACTTGAAAAACAATCATAATTCACAGGACAACTAACCAGTGGCGATTCGGAGCTAAAATTAAACGGTGGTGCTGCTCCAGAAAACTTGTAGCCTTTGTTTTAAAATGTTCGTATCCTTTTCATAAACTGGGGGATGGCTTAAGGATTATATATTGTACAAGCATAAAGAAGGAATTAAAAAAAAGAGGACAGTTCCGCAGTTCCACAGTGTCTATACGCGTGTCACCACTGCAACTAACGTGAAATAATAATCTCTAGCAGCATAAACAACTAGATAGCAATATAACACAGGAATTATGATAGCAAATAATTAACAATTCTTCCTTTTTATCTTTACTACAAAGGAGTAACACATAAAACGCTCGTGTTTTCCATAACAGTGAACTGTTAAAATCCGATGATTCAACTCCCAGTAATATGTTAAAATGAAAAACATCAAGGTATCGATGTAGATTAGAGGAAACGGGGTCGATTTTCTATATAGCACCAGCGGGGCCACTTCGCAGCTACTTAAGAACGATTCGGCGTCGAGTTCTGACAATTCTACGAAGGCACGTCACAAAGTGAGTGGCCACTTCAGCGTGCTCCTGAACGACGAATCGCAGCCGACGATTCTCAAAACCGTGTAATTCGATTAGCATTACGACGTACTTGTTCTGCCGTCGGGTAACAGCGTGTCGAGTGCATTGAGGGGGTACGCGGAGCAGGTGATATTACTGTAGCGCCAGAATTCCCGTGCAGACAGCTCCAGCATCTCCCGAAAGACCTCCGCACGGCCCAGCTGGCAGGCGAGCGTCAACGGGGTCAGCCCAGCGGCGTTCGCTATTCCATTGCGAGCAGGAAGCTTCGGATGGCGGAGAGCATACCCAAACATATCCTGTGCGTGGTATGGTACACCCAATTCATTTATACTCGATTGTCTTCGGTTTAACACTTTGACCGCCGTGTCACCTGAATTCCGGTGACACTGTTTTTCACAGAAATTTGGACACTCGTTTTCTCGATGACTCATCGAACAAACCGAATTTTGTCGGATATATGAGACATAAAGATATGGCTACTTTGTCATTAATAATTTATTGGAAAAAAATAAAAATTCTAAGCATGTGTTATGCCTATATTTCCTTTTAGGTATAATAATTGATTACAGAGAAATAATGTTTACTTTGAATTCGAATACACTGAGTAGTATATATTTGTTGAATCATGTTGAAAATCTTCACCACCAGTCTCATTCGTTGTTGTAGGAAAAGGGGTTAAGGAGAATCTTGACTTTTCAGTTTCTAGTTAATGAAGAGAACTGCTCTTCGAGTATATGGAAGTTTTGATGAGTGTTTACATGGCAGTCAAAGTGTTAATAGCTTGCATCGCAAATCTAGAACGTTCTTTTTCAGATATAGATCATACCGGACAATAGACCGTTTGAAAATGGACGCTGCACGAGGAAACAGTAAAAACAGTTCGTTTAAACCAGGCCTAGTCAATCTAAATGATTTCACGGGTCACTTTGGTGACAAGTACAGAATGAATAAAATTTTATTGTTATACTACGATTCAATGTAATTAACTCTCGATTCTTAATTCATGATATTTGTTTATCTTTCATTTCATTTTTGGAAATCTATATTTATGTTCTACGTTGCACATCTTAGTTGGTTCTCTAAATTGTTTTGAAATTTTCTAGATTTTCGTTTGTTTAATATTTTCTATATACGTACAACGAGAAACAAAAGTTTCAATAGAAATATAAAATCGCTCAGCGATTTAAACGCAGACATGTTCTATTAGACCTTGTTTTCGAGCTATAACGAGTTTCTGTTTACCTCTACAAGATGCATGCAAAATGAACTTTTTATGTGAACAGCTTTATAGGATTAAAAGGTGGAGCCACTAATAAGGTATTTATTAAGTAGAAAATCAAGGTTCTATAGATAGTGAGATTGACTAGTAGAGACTGAAGGAATTGGTTCGATTACTGTGCTAATATAAAACCTGTTATAATTAAAAAAGGAGGTTGTGTATGAACTGTTTTTAATTGCTTTCGTGTGTAGTATCCACTGCCAAGAGGTCTCCCGTGTGAATTTGGACACACTGTATTGTTTCTCTTACGTAGGTACGTGTATGTTTTCAAGATTGATATTGGAAATTCATCGTTAGTTTGACTCCTTCAAACTTGGTGCACGTTGCATGCATTACTTGGACATGGAATGAAAAGATTGACCTTGTTTCATCGACAGTTGATATTAATGGCTACATCGAAATTCTATATAAACGATTTGATGCTATTAAATAATCTACTATAATAAATAAATATAATTGCATTAACCCTTTGCACTTCGTTGTCGTCGCGGTAACATTGTGATATAAGCTTGTAACTCCGAAATTAACATCTAAAACGAAATTTGAATAAAAATTAATTGAATCATCCCTCGTTCCATTTCGTATGCTTATCTATAAATGAAGACTTTGACTGTGAAACAACAGAAGGTAATAAAACAAAATTCAAGTTTAAATTTGAACATCAAGGCTCAACTCTACAGACAAACGTCGACATCCAGCGAAATAAAATCTTCATATTACGAAGATCAGTTCGCCAACAAATGATTAAATTACTCAAACAGCAAGAGCCTAGCACGTTCCCTTATTCATATTACATAAACAATTAACATACAATTCAGCTTCATCTGCTGAAGGTTATGTTTCAAAGAATCTTCATCCTCAAAGAATCAACCCATCCAAGATTAAACAAAATTCCACAAAATCAATCTAAACCGTGGAGCAACGAGTTCGCAGGTACATACCAGTTTGTCGCAAACCACCACCATATGAAGAATCATGTTCCCAAAGGAGTCTTGCTCGTCAGGATCCGCGCCGGAATCGAGCAGTAAATTGTAGACACTCTCGTTTGCGCAGCAAGCGGCCCACGCCAGAGGATACTCCCCTAAATACGCTAATCCCTCGTAATCCGTATTCTTCGCGGGATTCATTCTCTGCTGATCCCTGGGAAGGAAGAAGCTGCCGATGGCCCGCTGCGAAATAATGGCACCAGCTTCGACGAGGTCTTGGACCAGCTCGTTGTTGTTGTACGCGATGGCAAGATGAAGGGCGCTGGCACCGAGGTACTCTTCTCCTTCGACGACGTCGATCGCCAATTGGGGGAAGCACTTGAGCAAGATACGCGCGATTCGTGTGTGTATCCTCGTGTCGCATATAATCAGAACATGTAGCAGAGTCTCTCCAAGCGAGCCTCTATATTGCATCTGCCAGCACGCCTCGTGATCATTCCATTGCGCCAAAGGATCGAACCTCGACAGGGAAGCCTCTATAGGCAGCACGACCTGCTCTTGGTCACGGAACTTCCAGCGCAGGTACTCGGCACGGTTGATCACCTGACCTTTACCATCCGCGTACATCAAGACGCCGAATTGTTCCCGTATCAGCTTTTCGACTTGAGCCTGGCCGCCTCGATTGTATGACTCTATCAACTCGCCGCTCTTCTTGTAATTGGCCAGCCGGTACAGCAGACATTGGTCCTCGTTGCTCGCTTGACTAATCACACGGTCAAGGATCGAGCCAGCGTTCACCTGGCTATCGCGTCCTCGACAGGAGCAGGCACCACCCATTCAGACATCCCTCTTTATCCCTTAAAATACGTATTCCCCCGTTCAACGACGCGGACTAATCTCGGATAATCGGATTCGCAATCGTGTTTTATGATTCTTTTGTTCAGCGACAACGCGATGGACTGCTTTACATGGAGCGTTGGGCGAATTAGATGTTTCGCTTAGTGCTCTTAAAGCGTTCCGTGCCGTTTATGGTGTACGCGGAATTTTTGTGAGGAAATATTTTTAACACTGGAACTACCAGGGTTGAAGTGACCAATTTCTAATTTCTTTTACAATTACTGTGAAAGTAGACACTTCTTTAAGAAATGATTAAAGAAGTTGATTTAGGAATACTTAAACTGAAATATAGACTAATTGAAATCTTAATAAATTCACGCTTATAGATTTTTATTTATAAAGAAATTATTTATAAATAAATTCACGCTTATAACTTTTATATTTTATAAAGAAATCTTGAAAAGACGGTTTAAGTGCTTGGTAGTTCTAATTTTAAGGGACACATTGAAAAACTATATTCAAAAACTTGAATATAAGTTAGTATTTTATTGAAAAAGTCAATACAGTTCATAAGCAGGTAATAAAATATGAGCGAAATTTCCGTGGCACGGAACGTGTTAATAGCTGACACTCGCGAGTTAAATTATGTAAGTGCCTTGGGGCTGGCTGAATGTATGAAGAGGGTATTTTATCTTCTCAAGTAATATGTACTTTCTGACCTTCTTTTGTTTGTAGCTTTATCTTGGGTATTTCAGTATTCCATGGTCAAGTCGAGACAGGAGGACTAGGTAGATCGTACTGAATCTGTTTAATTGCGTTTTTTTATATCAAATAATGTGTTTTTTTTGTGTTTCACCAATTTTTATGAATACTCTGTAATATCTTAGAATTCATCCCTGATAGCATACTGTTTAATTCGTGCTATTAGAATCACTAACACAATTAGTTAATTATTTCATCGTTTTAGAATCAATTAGGACACTTGTTTTCAATATCCCATTTATCGTTGCAAAAATATTGTTAGCACTACAACATAAAATGCTACCACCGAGAAAAAAACAAATTAATTGCTTTTACTGATACATAAATAAACACGACTATAGTCCTGGCAAACTGACAATGTATTCAGATGCAAGTATTTATTAAAAACATTGAGTTATAGATCAAATTTTTTGTCATATCTATCATAAATGCATTCTGGTTTAATGTATAACAAACAGTACCAAAATAAATAAATATAATATAAATAGACATAGAAAATAATAATAATAATAATAATATTGAGATTAAGTATTGACACATCAGACTAATATTACTTGCAAAAAATGAAAACTGAACTACCCTTTGTTCCTTCTAAAAGTTTTTTCACGTATTATAGCATCGAATGAACCAACTTGTGTACTTTTCTACTCGCTTTGTTCATTCTTCTAAACGGACCTTTTTCACTGCAAGCTCAATGTTACACTGTGTTTTATAATTTTTTTATCCGGCTCGTTTTATACGTGATTTATCGGATTTGTACACAAACTTCGAGATGCTCTTTTTAAGGAATTGGGAGTATTGCATGCAATCCATTGACGAACGATGTGTGCTTTGTGCTTAGGATTACGATACACGTGTATGTAGGCATATACAGGGTATTCTATTTAAATAAATTTCCTTGAATTTCTACAAAATAATCGTCGACTATATCAAAAATATTACAAATCAAATCGAACGGTTTTCGTGAGCGTACCATTTAAGTTAAGTCGCTCACTATAAACAATACAACTAAATCATCCGTATCAGAAAATTATTCATTTCTGAGATACGTAGAAATTTTTATTGCGAACTAATTAATCGTACGCTGCTTGCTGATTTTGTAATGTTATACGAATCGTTGAATTGGATCAGATGAACATATTGGTTTTCAATTAACAATAAGATTATCGGATCTACACTCGTAAATTTTTTCCTGTAGAGATATCTTTGTGTGAGATATCATTATGGAACCATATGAATATTGATGATAATAATAAAAATAATAATGAATATCTCATATGTATATTTTTGTGAGATATTCATTATTACTTTGATTATTATTACTTATTATTATTATTATTATTATTATTATTATTATTATTATTATTATTATTATTATTATTATTATTACTATTATTATTACTATTATTATTCGTTATTATTTGCCGATATTCTTGCTCAATTACCTACGTGAGATATACTACAGTAGAAGAGTTGATTCCTCATTTCCGATCAAATTTGCGATATCATTTACAAGTCCTTGTCCCAAATTCATTATCGCGAGCTAGCGCGGCGAGATTTACGACCCCCTGAAATTCGATGAAAGAGTTGCGGTGTTACGGGATGCAACACACATTTATCTCTCATCATAGCCGTGGTATCTGATGAATTTCATTTCGACTATTCTTTTTGCTGTATTTGCAACCTTTCATGTTCCTCTAATGGACAACTTGCGAGAGCGATCTCTTCTAATTCTTCAACATCCGATAAATTTTGAAATTGATTTTACAGTACTTCTTTTTGTTACTTGTTTTTCTAATTCCTTCGTGCTATGTAAATCTAACATTGTTTGTTTCACTGGTCTCAACGCTATTATACTTTCATTTAGGCTTTCACTTTCTAATTCATCGGCGTCTTATTTGATGCGTTTGCCTCCTTAGCACTCATCCTGGAAAAATTTCTAAATGATCACCTTCCTGTCCCATTTAATTTGAAGAATCTGAAGTCGACACTCGCTACGATTTCGAAGAAAACAGCTTGAATCACTTTATTCAACGTTCACCGTATGTTTCTCAATGCATCGGACACATGAACACTCGTTGCATAGTGTATTCGGACACTTGTGCACCTCGAAAGTATAAAGTATCAATACGCGCGGTGTAAGTACACAGAATTTTGCAGCCGATGCGGTAAGGCAATGTTAAATTCGACATCGGCCTAGAATTGAACATTCAAAAACGAAGCGTGAATGATCGAAATGGGAAGGTTTGATCTGCGCGAAATGCGAACAGCGTAGAGTTACAACCGGTTCAGGTATTTTCATAGCAACGAGGTCGATGTTTGTTTGTGTGTGCATTTTACCCGTACCATGGCCATCGGATAACAAATAATTCTTGAAACACTTTTTTCAAATGACAACAAATACAAAGAAATAAAATAGATTTGTTAATACTGATTTTTTTATGATCCTGTGACGTATGAACTAGAAGTTCCAAAATTCTTCGTAGTATTTAGAAAAATGATCTACTCAACTGTATATATTCCACACACTATAACCATCTGATAACAAATGATTCTTGAAACACTTTTTTCAAATGAAAACAAATACAAAGAAATAAAATAGATTTGTTAATAATGATACTTTTATGATCCTGTGGCGCATGAACTAGAAGTTCCAAAGTCCTTCGTATTTAAAAAAATACTATACTCAATTATATATATTCTACACACACTACAACCATCTGACAACAAATGGCTTCCGAAACACACTTTCCTCAAACGAACAAAAATACAAAGAAATAAAATAGATTTGTTAAAGCCGATTTTCCTATAATCCTATAGCAGATCTATAATGAACTGTAAGTTTCAAAATGCTTCGTATTTATAAAACGATGTGTTCAAGGGTTAACCCGTTCCCGTATCGTCCGTCCACTCTCGACGATTCGTCTTCTTCTATGAACCGACTACTCGCTGTTATCAACCGACTCCTGAGTGGGATCTCTGTCGAGTGTTTTGAGGTATCCTTTGGGACGAGGATTTTCCCATTTTTCGACACTATCAAGTGGACAGAGAGTACTTCGCTGCGCGGCTAACCGTGATCGACTCCCTTGGATACAGCCCTTGAGACGCTTGCAGGAGCTGACACACAGGTGGAACACCGTTTTCCTGACTATAGTAACTGCACCGGATACGCCAGGTAATCTATAAACTGTGCCTGGCTCCGGTTGGCACGGTAGGGTCACTAGGTGACGGCTGACATCTTGCTTTTGGTGCCATAATTAATTTTTTTCCTTCCTGACACCTTAACAGCTAGCGTAGGTGCATTTGCATAGCAACCGTCGAAGCGAGGTTAGGCTTCAGGATTGTTGAAAATTGTATAGAACCATGTACAAAATATATTTTATGGAATTCTTTAACAATAAAACTATCAAGTTAAACTGACTTCGAAATTCCTCTATGAAAGCTCCAAAAGTGCATCTATCGAGACTTCGATTGATTTACAATTCAGTTTACGTATCGCTAAATTAATTTCTTGAATAATTTCCTAGAGACGCGTCTGTTATTTATTTAAAGAAAGAAATCTTTTAACACCAAAACGAAGCAGTTAAATTGACTTCAAAATTTCTCTATAGAAGCTCCAAAAGTCTATCGTGACTTCAATTGATTTATAATTCAATTCGCGTATTGCTAAATCAATTTTTTAAATAAAATCTCAGAAAAACATCTGTTGTTATTATAATAATTACGAAACGAAGAAATCAGGAATGGCTCATTTTGACTCGTCTGGAAGTTTAGTGTTAAAGTACTTCAATCTGTTATTTCATACTGTAATGTACAACTCACAGATTCTAAGCACGAATTTCTTAATACATTCTCTCTGTGCTAAACGTAAATGCATGGTAATAGTTATTACTATACGTAAGTTGTCATCAATAAACGTTACTGACTTATTTATAACAACTTTATAAAGATTCCTAACAATGAACTCTTCCCGATTCGATGGACCGATAATTCTGTCCACGATTTCACAGGATCTTTTGTTAGTTCGTTCAAAGGCAACACAAAGAAGCAACTCGGCAATCAATTTTTCGCGGAAGCTAATGAACAAATGACGCAAACATCATTCCGTGTTCCTGCCTCGGTCGCGTGATTGTAAAACAAGGTATTGTCGTTGGCTCGGTGAATGGAAACCGGAAAACACCTTTCCAAATTGACACGCGCAGATGAATAAACGTGGATCGATGACGTTCGCATATTTGTCATTTATTACACACAACATAAATAACTCGGGAACAAAAGAGAGAGCGTCGCGAGGACGGCCGTACACGCATTATATTTTCCAAGTCAAATAGTGCATCATTCAGAGGGACACGTACTACATATGTATGTAGTACTCATATACGCGTTGCAACGCGGATACTCGTGTTCCGTGGATATCGTGAATACAAAAAATCAATCACACGATACGGAACGATTTCACGGGAGCCATTGACCGCGGAATCAGCTTTTAGCTTTGTATTTTGCTAATTGTCGCTGGACACTTGATAAAGTGATCTTTGAGACGAACGTCAAGCATGTCCTTTGAATGCAATCATTTCAATTGATTTATTATCGAATTATTAATAGATTATTGAATTTAATTATTTTACTGAATTATGAGTAATTCGATTACCTTCGGATTTCAATTTTGTCGAATTTGTTTTTCTTCGTTGGAGATATTACTATAATTCATGGGTAATGTATACTTTTTGATACTTTTTAGAGATAGTCTTATTTTAGAAAATATGAGTAATAGAAACAAATGCTTCAGACGAAAGTTGTAAGGTATAGAGCTGAAAATACGGTGGTTATATTTTGTTTATATTATGGGAATATGAACCTATAATAAAATGGTCAATTAAAAATTTACATTAGTTCAGCTCGCATCAGAATTTAAACATTTTTCTGTCAATATTGCGAATATACTGTCGGACTGTGATGTAGTAAAATTGATGGTAAAATTTTTCTGAAAATTCAAGTTTATTTATCACCGACCAACGCGTGTACTTTTACTTTGACACTAATGTTAAGCACGGAAACGCTCGTCCTCAATTTCACAGTAGCAGTTGAAATCGGCAGAAAATTTATATATGAACATCCGTTGATGGTCGTTTCAGATCTATACTTTTGTATTGCAATATTCATTTTACGAAGAGATTTATCTGATTCGCGAATGATCGATGACTATAGACGTACATACGTATATTACAATCAGTCACAAGGGTCTACTTACTGCGCATGGTACTTAGCGTGTACCTACATCTGTCAGATTCGAAATATTTAACTTTTTGTGCACTAGAAGTATTTCGCTGGAAATATTTAACATTTTCTAATCAGATACAGACGACATATGCTGAAACTAACTTGACGAGGAATCACAAATTCAGCACTTCGATGATTTTAAGATATCAATCATTGTGAAAGAAATACCGTAACCAGACAAAATTACTGTACAGTACTTTTAGCGTTGAAAACGAAGCATTTCGTAAATATGTAGTTCTGTGCAAGTAATATTCTTCAGTACTAATTGAACAGTATTAACTCTCAAACGTCTAGCAATGATACACTGATAAGAACAGAAAGAATATCGTATCAAAACAACTTCGAGCTCTTAATCACTCTAATAGTAAAACAGGTTACACGATATACAGTTCTAATTGAACGAAACTATCATTTAATTTTATATCTAGATTAATTTATATATAAATACAGATGAGAATCTTAGTTCATTAAGGCTGAAATCAAATAGGAAAATGATTTCTCCCTCTTTTACTACCAGCTGCTGCAAATTGCTCTACTGGTCAAGTCGACGAACAAAATGTTTAGTTTACGAAGCTGTCGTAAAAAATGGAAAGAGAACCTGTCACCGGTGGAAAAAGATCATACGGTGAAGTTATTTGCTTGTCGAAATCATGATATGAACGTACTATCTACGCAGCTTTATGGTGTTCGATAAAATACCGGAAATCCCCCGTACATTTGAGCGGAAGCCGCGTTGTTTACGGCACACCGAATTAACGCTTGCGCCTAGTCGTCCCTACGATATATCTATGGCAACTGATGATCGTTCGATTTATTTTACGGTTGAATTTCCCGGTTGCAACGAGCTGTCGTGAAACTTTATATTGAAAAGGTGAATTATTCCCGCATTATCGCATAATGTTTTAAACTGTACATTCTCCTTCCATCGTCGCATCTTACAAATAGATTTTACTTTTACAACTCTAGTGAAGTTTTCCTTGTTATCATGCTACTTGTCGAAAGTTACCTACGATTGTAGATAAAATATTTGCTAAATGATGTTTAGTAGATGTAGTACTGAAGCTTCAACTATTTCGCATTAATCAATCTGCACAGACAATGTACAGATTTTTGAAGATTCTTTTGACACTAGAACTACCGAGCATTTAATACGATTGCTATGTGTAGCGGTACGTGGCTCGCAGCGTTGGTAGGAAATAGCATTGACCGCTTACAGATGTTCAGGTATAAGCAATTAAGCCTACCCTAAAGTCTGTAAGTCGGCGAAAATAGTTTACACTTTTTACACGTGCGTAGCTGAATAAGCTACCCTACCATAAACGCTGCCAGCCATGTCCCGTTAAGGCTTCTTCGGCCGCACGGTCAGCGCGGCTCGGAAAAAACATTACAAATTAGAAATGCACAATTTTTCCCCTACCAAAAAATCGAGGCGACGTTGGAGAAGGGAACTAGCTCCACCCTCGAAGTTTCTAGGGGGTAACGCCTTTCCGAAGACTAGGATAAATAAAGCGGAAAGGCGCGAGGAAGCACCTTTTTTACATTACATTACATTACATTACATTACCCGTTCTGCCTCCGAACACTCGCCTACGTAAATAAATAACTTGTAAACATATTTGTCGCGAGCATTTAATAATAACACACTACATCCCGACACTATGTAATCTCTATAGAAATTTTAACAATAGATTATTCTCTGTTTCTTCAGATGTTCATTATAGTTTCGACTGAATGAGAACACCTGAATATCTCCGATATTTTTAGCGTTAGACAAAAACTTTTGAGGACAAAGTGACACGAAGTATATCCGTTGCACGAAATATTCGTCGCTTTCAAGTTAATGCAATTATCTCGCAAAAGTTCGCTGCTGGATACATGTAACGTAACGCATGCACACACACGTAATTTCGTTCGTGAAACTTTCCACTGACATTACACGATCACGTGATCTATTAACACGTACCAAATGAGTTGCATACACAGCTCAATTATGCAACTGATTAAAAACATTAGTCTGATCGGTCAACTGCGAACCATCGCGATGTTATGAATAAAAGTCTGAAGAAGCAGTAAAATACACAGTTCAATCAAATTTAATAGTTTCAGATTCTTTTCATGTATTAAGAATTAAGAATAAAACTGTGTTCGATTCAAGTTTCTTGAAGTTTGTCTATAAAAATGGCAATTAACATAAATATTTGCGGACTAGTGACCAGCGTCTTTAAGAGATCGTAGTATTACGTTCAAAGATGAATCACGTTTCATGAATATTTGATAGATCCCACTCTTCACCAGTGAATGTCACTTGTTTATGCAGGTACTAATTTTTGCAGCCTAATCTACCGCATCCAAATTCAAACAGAAATTTCTACATTCCCGTTCTATCATGTTTTAAATCAGGTAAAAGCTGCATTAAAGTCCGCTGAGTACCTCCTTGTATAGGGCATCATATTTTAAAGAATCGTAAATATCAGAAATGCATGAAATCTGCAGCCTAATAGATAATAAAAATAAAAGATAATAGAAATATTGTATGTACATTGCAATGCGTACATATATTGTGAAATAAGCTTGAAGAGGTTAGGGTGCACTGATAAGTTGCGTGTACAGTTATGGGTTCTCTTCGTTGCAAACATAAAATGATTAGTTACGTTTATCATTGAAACTGTTATTAACGCGTTCTTTTCATGTAATCACGGGTTAAAGAAAAATTCCTTTGGAAATGCCATGACAATTGAACGTAGTGAATGTATTGTATGTGATGAAAATGTCCATTGATCCAGAGGATATGTATGCCTTTAAGAAACAACTTCAAAAACAGCATAATTATACACAATGATCTGATAAGTGAAACTATAGGATGAACAGATGAAAGTCAGTATAAATATCAGAAAAAAAATGTAAACGATTTCTATAATTTCCTTCAAAAAGTTCGAAAGGGGTTAATTTGAGTCATGAACAAAATCACGCATTTTCTTTAAGAAACAATTTAAAAATCGGCATAATTATACATAATGATCTGATAAATGAAACTATGAGATATATGAATGAAAGTCAGTACAAGTGTCAGCAAAAAATGTAAATGTTTTCTATAATTTCCTTCAAAAAGTTCGAAAGGTGTTAGTTTGAGTCATGAACAAAATCACGCATTTTCTTTAACGCTTTGACTGCCACGATGACCGGAGCTTTCAAATTACAAGAATACAATTATGAGTTGGAAGATAATTGATTTCGAATACAAATTTTCTGTAAATTAAATAATTAGATAATAGGGTAATATAACAATTTTTATATCAAAGATAAGTGATACATGAAATGTTGATGTTTTTCGTAGCAGTCAACGTGTTAAGAAACAACTTAAAAAACGGCATTATGAACGGCAAGTGGCAGAAAAAGAATGTAAACGGTTTGTGTAATTTGCCTCGCGAAGTATTTTCCATACATATCAAACATGGAAACATACCCTAACACGTACCCTATCTCGCGTTCCTTCAGTTAGTGTAACTACCTTGACGCATAAGTACGACGACGGGTATCTTTATGCGCACAGAAACATTTTAAGACGGAAGCAGGAAAACCAATTACACGGTTCATTCTATGGCAATCAACGACACGCTGCGATTACGCGATCGTTAGTAATTGTTCCAGAACGTTACGAGACTTCGACTTATGAATAAGATGTCTAACGTCGATTAACCGTTGACAAAGGTAATTTATGGAAAGCCAAGCAACAACGAACCGGTACCATTCAATGCAATTAGGAAACTGTTGTTTCAGGTGATTCCGAGGAATCGATACGTATTAGTAATAGAACCTTGTTCCCTTGTTGTTCTTTTAGTGTGGTCACACTAAACAAAACATTCTTAGATAGTAAGAATTTTCAGCTTGGTGAAGTTTATATTGCAAATAATACAACTAATCACAACTAAGAGAACAGTGATAAATGTTTATTATCATAAAATAAAATATAAATTCTTTTACTATAAAAATTCGTTTCTATAATAAGAAAATTTATATTTCATTTTGTAATGATAAATATTTATCACTGTTCTCGTAGTTGTGATTAGTTATATTATTTGCTAACACATTTGCTAATACTATTACAAATGATGACAACTAATAAATCAGTGATAATTATTTATCGTTATAAAATAAAATATAAATTTTCTTATAAAAATTCGTTTCTATGCATTAAATTTTGTCAAAGTCGATATGCCTATTGTATCAGGGAAATTCCAAAAAGGTGAACCTGGAAAAATAAAATAAATCAAACGTATCATTAAGTTAATTAATAGAGTTAAATTAACTTAAATTAGTTCACTAGTATCTCTGTTTCGTTGAAAACAAGTTACAATGCATAATTTCCTACTTCCTGAGAATATTCATTCTTCAGCATTCATAATTTATTATACATTTTACAGACAAATTCGAAGTTATATTTCAAAAGACGACTAACCGCCAGAATTGATTTCCTTCCAAAAGTACTCACGATTCCACGACGAAGCGTTAACCGTGTCAGCAATAATTCGGTACTTCGAATTCCAGGTATTTACTTACACGTAATCATCACTCGGATATACGAACAATTCGAGGAAAAATAAACGAAACACTCTATTATTACTGTTATCGAACACATACATAATCTAATAGAAAATTCACCGTTGCAACGATGCACACAATAATTACGGTTATTCAGTTATTAGACACCGACTTGAATGAGAGGTTAGGAATACCGAGAAAAATCGCGGCATGAGTCAAGCGTCGCGCCGTACGGTCACGTGACTGTGAAGTCATATGATCTCACCTGAGGGACGGCCGCGATTGGTCGAGTGGCGGGCGAACGAACATATATAGCGTGGCACGAGACAAAAGTCGCAGCGCAAAGTGTCAGCGAGTTTCAGTGAGCTGGTTCTGTGAGTGACCTTGATCCCCTCGCGTGTTCTGTGACAGTCCCGTTCACAGAGCCCTAAACCCGCCAGTAGTAATCGAGTCTCCGTCAAAGAAACTTTACCGAGCGAGTCTCTCGAACTGTACAAGCAATCTCAGGACAGAATGAAGGTCCTCGGTGTTCTGCTCGCCGCGGCGTGCTTCGTCGCGTGCGCACACAGCTTCCCCGGTGAGTATCCGGATTTTTACAAGTGTTCCTGTGCCACGATTCGTATACCAAGTGCGCGTGTGGAACGACGAATTGCGGGATAGAATGCGTTATAATAGGAAGAGCGTTATAATAACCGTTACAACCGTTAAACGGTCGATCATTATCGTCTCGCCGGATACCCCACGACGTTGACTCGAATGTACCTTGAATAATTATTTTAATTATCCAGTGACTACCTCTTAATGCGAAGGATAAGATAGTTAAAGGGTTTATGGTAGTCGATGGATCCCTTCGAAATTGACAACGCCATTCGTGTTTTCGCGTGACAGCTGAATAAGCTGGGCGAGAGGAGCATGCGTACAGGGTATATGCGCGGGCAACGAAATCTATAGATTGGGGTGCTTGCAGAATGATGTCCGTTAAACGTGTCCGGGACGTTTGATTCGAATTAGGAATTTCTTTATTCTGAAATGTTAAGATGAGGGAAATGTTTTGAGATACGTGTGACATTGTATGCAAAAAAGGTTGCACAATGCGGTCTAAATATAACGGACGAAATGAACCGGTTCGATGGTATGACTCATCACAACAGTCATGTTAGTTTTTGAATTGCAAAACAAACGTTGTGAGTGAGGCTCCTTGGGAACAGCGAGGTGATTGCGTTGACATCGTTTATTCAGGCCGAGTCGAAATATTTTCGTCTGGAACTTGGAGCTTCTGGAATAAATATGAAAAGTATTTTAGGAAAGATAAACGATGTTCAATATACGTGTACTGGGGTATATGTGATGGTGCCTGTTTAACCCCTTCGTTAGAATGGACGAGGTATTTTGGTTTTATGATATTGAAGAAACAATACGGATGAGATATCTCGTTTTTATTATTGATATCGAGTGCTTTATTTGGAAATTTGATGTAAGTAATGGATATTTAACACTGGGACTACTGTAACAGTAAAAATGGCTACTTTTGATTTCTTTGTTTCGCCATTATTCGTTCTTCAAAGTATCGAATATTCGAAATGATCTTGAGAATAAATAGTTTCACCTGAATATTGTAATGAATGGCTGGTGAAACTGAGAATAATTTATTGTTGCCATTTTTATAGGGATTACATATTAATCGTATTAAATGTTCGGTGATTCTAGCGTTAATGGACAGTTAAAATGGCTACTGTCGATTCTTTTGTTTCGCCATTATTCATTCTTCAAAGCATTGAATATTCGAAATAATTTTGAAAATAAATAGTTTCACTTGAATATTGTAATGAATGTCTGAAGAAACCGAAAATAATCTATTGTTACAATTTTTATAGGAATTACATATTCGTATTAAATGCTCAGTAATTCTACTATTAAAGATGATAAATACAATATACTCCATATTGTACACAATTAAAATTTCTATTTTTACACAATTAGTCTAGTAAGTGAAAAGAAGTACAAACACCATAGAAAAATCGCAAAATATTTCTATTGCGACAGAATATCTCATCCCTGGTAGCGAAAGAGTTAAGGAAGATTGCTTTTATTTTCCGATTTTCCCTGAGTCTTGTTTATTAATCTCTCTCGCTATACGCGGTTATACTAAAAATACATATATTTGTAAACGGACTTAACTGTTCCTGTACCGGGCATTTTCGTGCCAGAACGAAGTCATCTTACCATAAAACTTCGCAAATCAGGAGATGCTGGCTCGCCGCTGTTTTATGCAGTTTTATGCGGAAAGTTGTATACGAGACGGTCGTACCCGCAAGTACTCTGCCGTTGTCTGCGTTAAGTAAACGGGAAAATTGCCAATTGGCATATGTCTGCTTTATTTCCACTGCGGTATAATTCATGTGCTCGTTTTAATACGGCGGCGTATAAATTAGAGTTGTTGGTTAGCCTTCTTGAAGTGATATTAAGTTATGCTAGGCGGTACGCAATTAATACATTGTTCATGGTATAAAAAAATATTCCGCTTGCAATATCAAATCGTACTTATTATGGCTTAAGTCCATTTTTCAAGAAAACAAGGTGAATCCTTATAATACTTACAATTCTACGTAATCTCTTTATTCTTTAATAGTTCGTTAACACTAGAACTACCGAATGGCTCAAAATGACACATTGTTGAATGATTGTTTTACAAGTACTGAAAAGACAGCAGATACTTCTTTGCAAAATTACTGAAGAAATTGACTTAGTAACAGGAAAATTGAATCATAACTCAATTGAAATCTCAATAGATGTAGTCTTAGAGTCCTTATAGAAAAATTTGAAAACTTCAATTTAACTGCTCGTTAGTTCTAGTGCTAATCTTTTTCAAGTGGATTTAAGCCACTTTCAAAATAAACGGTTTACATATCTTGTTTAATGGAAACAGAAACAGAAGGGAAGTCAAACATGGAAAAACTGATTAATTGTGCAATGTAAGAATTGATATAAAGTTAAATGAACGGCAAAAAACGTAGAATTTTAACCCTTTGCACTTGAGAGGCGATTCCCAGTCGCCAGATGATTTGATACAGAAAAATTATAAACTTTGGTATTCACCATTAATCTTTGTATATTGCATCAATACGTGAAGTATTGAAAGAAAGTAGCTTTTCTCCACAATTTGTAATTTGTTGATAAATGAATTTTAAACAATCTTGTCTACATCTAATTGGAAAGCATCGAATATTTCAAGTGAACAACTTTGGAATGCAAAGGGTCATTTGGTACCATTACAATACAAATGTTGGTACCATTTTGATGAAACAAATGATTCGTTTGTACATTCCTCAGTTGTGTCTAAACCGTCTCTTGTTGAATGGTCGAATGCTTACATTCTTACGTTTGTTCAAGTTGTTCGTCAGATGCAACGGTGTCCATTCCGCGCAATAAGTGCAACGCATGCAAAACGATTTTACGAATATCATTTTTCCGCCGCGTGACGCGTTGAAAGTCGTTCGATTGAGGCAGAGAGGAGGGGAAGGAACGAGGAGAACGATGCTTCTCGAAGAATCTCGGGCTTTACATTCAGCGTGAAATTCACTTGGACCGTGGACTTGACTAATTAGTACCGGCGTCGTTTTTGTAAGCCGAAAGAGCAAGAGCACTCGTTTAATTACTGCTGTTTCATTCCACTGATAATCGTCCCGACGAATTCCCCCTTGGAACTCTAGTTTATTCTGTCTATAATTTCGATCGTAATTTTAGGTCAGCGAAATCAAAGCAAAATCAATGCATTGGCTACTGATTATACAGTTGTCTTTTTTAAAAAACGAATTGTATCTCATGCTGTGACATCATCGTTTGGAGTAAATATTATCTATGTACTCTGTCGATTAAAATTAACTTGTTATTGTTGTTGTTAAACGAGTGAGAATCTGAACAAGATGAAGTAATAACGACATGATTAATTGGTTAGAATGTGTCACAAAGTTTGTTGCATAAGATGTGAAAGAGTTTCTTGCTGAACAAGAATATACATTGCAAAAAGAAATGAATGTGATCTTTACAGGCTATAACTATAGTACTAACTTTGTTATGAATTTCATAATCCGTAGTATGATTGAATGATTGATGGTAGAATGTGTTGTGGGAAAGTTAACAAGGGAATATGAACAAAAACCATTGAAAGAACTGTATGAATTATTACCTGAACATTTCCTTGATGTCATTGGCTAGAGAGAAAGTATTTCTAAGTATTAAGGTGAACATTTATTTTTCATTCAGAAGTATATACTTATAACTTAAATATACTATTAACTTGTCAGTTTGCAAGTAAGTAGATACTTTTCCTGTTTTCCCCCGTGATTTTCTTCACACTAAAATGATCCACTCATGATTTCTTCATTTTGCAATTATTGAACAGGTAACAGATGTTTCTCAGAGAAATCATTCATGAAAGTGATACAATACACAAACTGAATTGCAAATCAATTAAAGTCTCATCAGATGCACCTTTCAAATTTCTATAAAGAAATTTCAAAAAGTCAACTCAACTGCTCCGTAATTACTAATGACATTTCGCGTACACTTTTCCAGAAAATTACACAATACAAACGCGACGGAAACTCTCATCTATTCATTAATCTCGAAAAGCATTGCGAAAATATCAATTGTCCTGTCCTTTTGTCACAGAGTGTACTCTTTTCCTTTATCCGCGTATTCAGAGATAATTGAACCTTTCGTTTACCAAAGCGATTCCCCTGTAAGATAAGCAAAGAAAATTATTACCATTGTACAATACATTGTTCGGAATTCCTTCTAAACTATATATTCAAATAAATATTCCAAAATATATGATTACACACGTGAACCCTATATCAAACGCAACATACGAAACGCAGAGATGCATTGTTACAATCGTTGTTATTATTATGGTAGCATATAACCTGTTTGAAAGTATCGAAATGTGTGTCTACCTGGTTAGTCACTTTAGTCTGCAAATAGCTAGTGTTATCGTAAATGTTCTGCATCCGGTGTGTATTCAAAGATACCCACAGACCGTGTCGCCCTATAGTCCGTTTGACCTTTTAAAGATACACATATTACACGTATGTAACTGTTGCCATGTTTATTATGCGATCCCCCGATGATATAGCGCGGACGGAAGTGTCACGAGAACTTATCGGCGTGTTACGGGAACTTACCTCGGATTCCTGACAATTACACCATTTCTCTTAATACCGGACACTTACAAGTTCCTGATGTATGCATCCTCGTAGCTACAACGCAATTACCGGGAAAATGCGCGCGATGCTTATGCTCGCCGACAAGATAGTCGCGATTGCACGTGAATCTATGTACCTAACGCTCGCAACGTTACGTCAATCAACGCTCGTTTGGAATTAAACGATTCAATTGATAGTCGACGCTGGAATAGATTATAGATGCAGCTTAATCTATCTTTTCCTCGCGTTCAAAAATTGCCTTCGTTTTCAAGCGATGCAATGCGATGTTGCATTCATTGTTTGGGTCTGTTGATGTTCGAAGTGATTTGGACTGCTATGGGGATGATTTGGTAATATGGAGTTTGAATTTTCTTTGGACTATTGGGCTGAGGAAGTCTTTGCAAGTTTAGACTTCTGTTGATAATAATCGTGTAATCGGGCTGAAGTGGAGTTTTATTTTCCGTGTTGGTGTGTGTTTTGAATGGATTCACAATGTAGGTTTTGCAGAGCAAATTCACCCTTTTGCAAATCAAGTGTTTCTATATGTATATTTTGTTTTAAAAAAGCATCAAATGTTAACTCTTACAGTCAGATTTAATTATGAAAGATTTTGCACGAGATAACCATTTAATTGTGATTTAAAAAATACATGCTTTATTTTATCTACCTGTACCTAGTAGTTCTAACGGTAAACAACATGTGATAATGATCTGCGATATTTACACAAATAACAAGAGACACAATATTACCAAATTCAATGAACTAGAAATTTTGAACGAAATTAATTATTATAACATTCAACAGTGACTTTAGTCACGTGACGAGTGTAGCTCGCCATTGTGTGTTATGCATGAAAATCCAATGACGTGCTATACTCGTCATTTTGCCGGAAGGGGTTAATTAGTCAGTAAGGAATAATAGGAAATGTTGATCGCGCTGTTAGTAAGGAATAATACGAAAATTTGATCTTGCTGAAATGTCGACATTCGCCTGTAAAAAATTAAAAATCAAAGAATTGTTATATTTCTTGAATATCTTTAAACCGAAATAACCGACAATCGATCTCTTTCAGTTTTCTATTCTTGACTTACTATTGCTCTATATCGCAACAAATAAATTATGTAAACGGTTGTATTATTATCTCAAATCGTATTCATTTTTTCCTATAGTATCGCATAAATATTTAACTGTATCAATTTAATTGAATAATCATTCAAATACACTCGTCTATCTCGGAATACGAACTATTCTCCGATACTACCGGCATCTTCGTACTACTTACTGGCATCATGATTTTCTAATTTCTCTATTATTCATTTACATTTCAATTATGATTGAAACGAAAAATCTGAATATGAAAAATATCATATACTAAAGAATGAAAATCACGCATAATTTTCTTTTCAACAGAAATCAACGCCGAGAGATCGTAAATGTACACAAACGTCCGCAGTTTATTTATCAGAATTTCAATCATGCGCGTGTACGGGAATTAGTTTGCTTAACGAAATCTCTAGCCAGAGTTTAATTATGTCATGAATAGGATACGTGACTAATTACTTCCGTCGCCGTTCGATCATTAATTAGTTTATCCAGCGCGTCGAGCCTCTGTCCGTCGGTATTGCTTTTCTTTTTATGCAGCGCGAACGGGTAGATGGGCGGAGGAGCCTTTACTTTTTCCTCTATCCGCGCGCACATACGTATTTACGCATCCGTTGCGAGCATAAATGGATGTTTGCGCTTCCCCGCGCGGTTTCGTGTCACGCTCAGTTGCCCCGTTCCATTGTAGACGTGCCTTTACCCGCTATCTACCAACTTAATAACCTTCTGCGATGAAATTACATAGAACAACACGAATACGGCTGGGCAAGTGTTTGCTCCGTTGATCTGGATTCCAGCGTTTAACCCTTTAAGGACGAATGTCGGCGTTTTAGAGACACGAAACTTTCATATTTGAGATACAAAGTTACCGACGTTGTGATTAAGTTACTCAAATAATAGAAGATTAACACTAAACCTACCAGACGAGGCAAAATCACCCATCACTGATTTTTTGTTTTTGCTGTTATTCAAAATATAACAGATGTTGCTCTGAGAAATTATCGAAGAAATTCATTCAGTAATACGCAAACTGAATGATAAATCGATTAAAGTATCGATAGATGCATCCTTGAAATTACTGCAGAGGAATTTCAAGAAGTCAATTTAACTGCTCGGTAGGTTTAGGGTTGATGCAATGATGATCGCTTAAATTTCACTATTTCGGGCCCAATAGTGGAATTTAACCGAGCAGAGAAACAGGAGGGAGCTATATGCTTCCAGGAATTGACTTGAGTACAGCTTAACAAAGACAGGGAATCTCAAAGTGACGCTGAACGCGTCACATGTAAACATGCAATGAAGAAAATTTCGATTGCAATCATTTTATCCTTACCTTCTCAATTGTAGTGCCAGAGATTGTCGCGATTAAAATGAGTCCCAACACAATGGGAATCCGAGTAGTTTTAGCGACTTAGTGTAATTAACGAAATTAAAGGCTCGTTTCCATTAATCGATGAAACGACTGAGAAGGTAAGTCTCTAGTTAAATCATTTTTCCTTGTTATTTCAAGCGTGGGATGAAATACAAAAGTTTCTATCAGAAACGTCTATTAATATTATCTTTCCTAAATATTATCGTTATTTAACTTTTATCTTGAATCTCTAAAATAATGTTATATTTCTTCTAGACTTTTTAAACTGTTAAAAACTTACACGTACCGCAGATTTAATGGAAATTAAACAATTCACTCTGGGTAAATATTAAAGCTGAGAACAGCTTTTAATCGCGTAATTATTGGCCTTCATTGTTGGCTTGATTCTCCCCCCACACGCGTTTCAAACAATCTACAAGTACTCCCGTAATAATACGTGATTGATTAACTTGATGCGATTTATTAAGAGAATAATTTTAAATTATGAGACATTATCGTGTTTGACCTGATTTTCGCCACAGAAATCACGGTAATTCTTTAGCGATAGCTCAACGGAAAGTACTTTTTTTTTCAACGGAAATAACGACGTGTAGGGTAAATACGTAGAATGATGCCTCCCCGAAGTTCTGAAAACCGAGAGTTGTTCAGAGGAATCGTATTCGATCGATTCCTAAAAACAGAGAGGATTTGAAATTCGAGATTTCCGAGACAGCCTCACAATATTTTCTACACAAATATCAAATATTTAGGAATTCCGACGATACGGGTTGAAATGTGTGAATTGGACGGTGCTTAACACAATCGTAACTCTCATTGTTTAACAGACGACTTGTTTAATCATTGAACCAAAGCGACTCTCGGCTTGTTGACATTATTGAAAACTTCAGACTTTAAACTCGAAACGTTCCTTTCCACTTTTACAATATTTCTTTCATTTTCGTTCGCAACAAATTTGTTAGTTATCGTTTCTAAAATTATCATAATATACCAACATATTCGTAGAACTATTTCCAGCTGAAAGAATTTATGTAACAAATGTTGGAAAGAAACAAATCATGTATAAATTAATTCTTTACGTAATAGCTTATTGTTATATAATGGAAATTCAGGAAATCGGACAGATATAAAAACTGTTGCATTATTTAATTTAATAATTCCTATATTACTGTAACGCAAATGATAATGCAACACGTAGTACATGCAAATATATTCCATTCCAAGAACTCTTTATCAAAACATCGTCATCTGGCGTAAGTTATATATAGATACTCGATAATGAAGTTGTGCAAGCAATAAGTAAGTGGGACCTGTAACGAAGTCATGCTTCTAGCGTGAAACGTACGACGTTTTTCTTATTCGCGCAGATATAACGAACTCTAAATTTATGATCCGTTAACAACCGTTTGCACACAAACTTCCAAATGTCTATATTTACGAGCAATGCAGATGGTAAGTCATGAACAGACATTAGCTAATTCCTGGGATTGTATAGCATGCGCACTTGATCAAACTTGAAGCGCGATTATATCGAAAATTGCAGCCTGTGAACAAATGTTATATTTTCTGCTTAGCTTTTGTATAGAAACATTTTTAGTTCCTCAGTTGTACTACAAGTTGAAAACACCATGTACTTAAGTATAACACATAACTATCTAAACGAATACTTTATAAAATAATTAATTTGACAATTAAATTTAATTAATTCTATTTAAATTATTTCAGCGATAAAAATTAATCGAAATCGAAATAATTATTTACATTTTATTTCAATTAATTTAACAAATACTCTCCCTTGGTCAGGCTCTAGGGTCTCTTTCGACCGAAATTGAGATTAATTTTTGTTATGATTTTTTAAGGGGTGAATCAAGATTAAGGGTTGATTATCGCCAAAATATTATGAAAATTTACTGAGTTCTTAACGATCGAAATCTGCCAATAGCGACGTATGAGCTAGATTTCTGTCTCTGTCTCTCGTAGAGTACATCAGTGTCCTCACGTGTGGATACTGACCTTCCTTACACGTCCACTATTGGCGGATCGCCATAGTTTGATGAAATTTATAATCGTTAACAGGTTGACTCCTATGATGATCACCGATGACTCAAGCTTCCAAATTGCTTGAAAGCTATTGCAACAAGAAGATCGATGTTAAACAAAAATATTTAGGAACAGAAGTAACTAGACAATAGAGTAACGTATAAACTGCGACACCAAATCGTCAATAATTATTTATGGTATCGTTTATTCTTGCTATGAAGGAATAAGCAATACTATACGAAATTTTCGTTACCTTTAACTTTCATCTTACTTTCACCAAAATAACTATTACATATGGTCAAAGACCCTATAGAATGGAACTCATAATTTTGTATTTTTGATTCTCAAATTCATCATGTTTGTTTATGAGGATTTTTCTAATTATAATTAGTGAACGTATAAAACTCTTTTCTTTTAATATTTGCAATTTACCGGGTGTAGACTTTTGTGATTGACTGTAACTTGACATACTTACTACACGAACATCCTTTCAGAATCGCGCGTTCGTTATCATTTGTCTTATTTGAAGTGAGCAAGATTTACCTTTCGTTTGCCAAGCTATCAAGATCAAATCTCTGTGCAAATAAAACGCAATAATAGACCTTAAACACTTGTGAATCATCTGCGATGTT